ATAAAACAGGTATGAGAAAAGCAGGTGCAACCCGATTTATCATCTTCACACCTCCAAATACAATAAAGCATAACAAAATAGTCACAACAATCCCATATATTTGCAAGTCATGAGAACTTGGACTCTCTATTGGTTGTGTAACTGCAGTCCCGTTAACTTGTGTGGCAGCCTCTGCACTTGCAATACAAATAAATATATAATTATATAACATTAATAACAATAATAATAAATCATTACATAATCAAATTGCTTGATTCAAACATAATGATTACAACAATACAACAATAAAGCATAACCCTAAACAATAATAAATCATTACACCTTATCAACTCAAACTCTTAAGAAGTGAATTTTAAATCAAACTCAAGCCTAAAAAACCAATTTGTAAGATAAGATTTACACCTACTTATATATTTTTAATTGATTTTATCTTTAAACGATGTGAGATTTCTAAAACACACTTCTCATGTCGAGACATATATATTTCGAGCATAGAACTAGATATCTGAGGTTAGTCAAATAGTGGACCAATAGCAAGTGGCACAATAAACCAAACAAACAACAAACCTTATTAGGATAAGCTCTAAATGGCCATGATATTATCTTAGAAAATAGACTCTAAGTCTAACTCAATTCTACCAAAATCGGTTTATAAGGTGACATTTACACCCATTTATATAGTGTAAATTGATCTTCTCTAGTCAATGTGAGATCTCCAACATAAATCTTAACATCATAGAAATGAAAAAGACATTATTGAACGCAAAAACAATGTAATAATACACCAATAAAAGAAAAAAATACTGCCTTTTTTTGTCAATCTAAAAAGAGAATAGTGACTCTTCCTCTCCCCTTCTTCATGGCAAAAAATGCAAAGGATCCCAAATTATAGTTACCATGGAAAAATGTGATGACAAAATCAATCTTAGTTGAATGGTCTTTAAGCACAACTTCTTTGCGCTGCATGATTTGATTATTCCAATCTACTATCTAGTTCTATTATAACTAATTTAGAAAAATAGAAACATTTCGAATAGCTATTGAAATCTTTATGGTCTTTCTGACATGTAATAAACAACAACTAGTAAAGTACACACACACACACAAACAGAGAAGAGGGATCAAATTACCCAAAGTAACTCTAAAACATCTCTATCATTCAATTCCTTTTAATCTAAGAGTCTGAGTGTTGATGTTGGGCGTGGCCAATCCACTCTAGGCTATATTTATGTTTAATAGCTTATCAATAGGATAAGGTGTTTTCCACTATAAAAAGTTTAAAGCTATACCTTGAAACCCCAGCACTAAGATTAGTTACTCAATAAAATGAAAGGTGAAGATGAAGATAAAGAGTAACATTTACATAGTTACATTCGGAACAACTCAATCCCTTTTCATATTGTAATCAACAAAAGTTCCCTTTTTGTATCCCATATATATGTTAGCACAATTATAAAATTCTACAATTCCAGTATGCCAATTTCAACAAAATTAGGAAAAAATTTAACACTACATTGAAAAGGATAAAATAGCAATTAATTTTAAAATATTTAAACTTGTTACCTCTAAAGATCCCAGCAGCAGGAACTGCTTTCAAAAATGTTTCTACAGCTCCCAATACATAACTAGAACCACAAGCAACAGACAAAGAACTTCAGAATTAATTTCATATATCAGCTATCATAACTACAATTCTGTTACATACATAATCCTCCTAGCCTGATTTCCTTTTAAGAGATTAAAATTAAAAGAGATTCATATTATACACTTACAGTGCTCCAGCAACAGCATTTCCAAGGAAGAAGCATAGACCAATGCTAACTCCAACTTCAGGACCAAGGGCTCGACCTATTAGATAGTAAGGTCCCCCACCCTACACCACACACAAGAAAATACTAAACTATATCAATTATTAATGCATCCTAAGATTTACTTAATTTTTTGGAAAAATAAAATGCAATCCTATTTACACTTGATCACTTGAAAAGATTTTGTATCGNTCTGTGAATTCAGCCCAGTAATTCCCTCTGGATTAAATAAGGTAAAGAGGGGGGAAATGAACTTAATTAAATCAGTATAAATAAATCTGAAATACAAAAAAGATGGAAGAATGAAAGGAGAGAAATCCTCAACATCACACCATGGAGTAATAGCAATGGCAGCGAGAGCTGTTTCCCTAATAATTGTCTAGATTTGATTCTCTTTTCTGTTTCTGCTAAAATTTCTCTTATCACTAATTTCAAACTGTAAATTATACCGTTTTTCTCTTCTCTAAATTTTGTTTATCTGCTTCCGAAAAGCAAAAGGTTTCTTCAGATTTGAACTTCCAAATACATTTTATAGGCTTCGATAGGATCAAGTTTGGGAAACTTTTGGTCCAAACCATATGAATTCAGATAATTTTTCTGTGAATTTTTTATGGTAAACCATCTTGATTAGGATGGGGTTGTCCAGGTCAGATCAGGTCACTGGGCACACGAAAATTTAAATAATCATTCCAAAAATCAGACACATATTCAGAAGAGAAAAACCATGACTTTAAACAAACACTATCAGGTCACCATTCTTTATCAGAACACCCAAATCAAACCTTCAAAGAAGTTGACTTGGTTTGGGTTCCTCAGGTTAACCAATAGTTAAGCACATCCCTACATTTGACATGAAAAGGCTGATGATTTGAGAGTAAATTAGAAACCTCAGGTTAACCAATAGTTAAGGACTGCAAAGACAACACAGAATAAAGAGTTCAAATTCCACATCCTCATAGACAGAAAATGTGCAGAACCATTCAAAGAAATAAGAGACTAAAACGCAGTAGTTTCTCCATCAATAAAAATAGTTCCTTTAAAATGGAAGTTCAAAGACTATTTGGTTTGGTAACACTTAAATTTAGAGAAATATTTCTTTAAAGAAAAGCTCTTTCATAAATCTGGCTAACAAGAATAATTTGTCCAAAATAAAATAACCAAAGCACATACGTAAACTGAGAACCTTGGGTTAGGTATGTTGTGATTATAAATAATTTAAAACTTTACAATTAGATTTCGTTGTGTACCTTACGAAATTAAGACGGTCTTATGAATATATATTGTAATCCGTACATTGTATTAACTATCTATGTGTATGCACAATTTAATAATTTGTCCAAAATAAAAAAACTAAAGCACACACGTAAAGTGAGAACCTAGAGTTAGGTATGTTGTGATTATTAATAATTTAAAACTTTATAATAAGTATTTTGATAGGATATAATATGATAGGTTATAATGGGTAATAGGTGTGTAGGAGAGAGAAAACAGTTTAGGAATTAATTGTTCAGTTTAGGAATTAATTGTTCAATTTAGGAATTAATTGTTGTTGGATAGTTAAAAGTGGGTTGCCTTTATAAGAAGGCAAGGGGGATATGGTAGAAAGGGAAGTTTTGGGATATTGATTGTAGACAGGTTCATTAGACCTGTGAAGGGGATTATGCCTCTGGATTGTGATTGTATAGACAATTTCTTACTGGGAATATAACAGATTCATTTCATTCTTTCCTATCTACTGTTTTGAGAGAGTGTGAGGGAGTTCTTGGCTAGGTTTCTCGTTCAGAAACATAACATATTTGTTCTGTGCACCTTTGGAAATTAAGACAGTCTTATTAATGTATTTAGTATTCCGTAATTAGCATTCGTTCTGTGTACCTTAGGAAATTAAGATGGTCTTATTAATATATTTTGCAATCTATACACTGTATTAACTATATATGTGTATGCACAATTTAACTAAGTCTGCATTAGGCACTCCGGTATATTCACTAAAAATTAGTTTTCCCTTTTAGATTTAGATTTGGATTACATAAAATGTCTCCAGATCCATTAAACTGAAATTAGAAGTGTTTCAAGTTCCTATTCTGGAATATTTAGTTATGCCTATGAAATATCATCATCAGTGCTCTTCATGTTCCTTTCATTTCATCCATTTGATAACAGCTTCTTATGTGTAAGGAGGCACATAGTCTTACCCTAACAAGAAATTAAATGACGCAAAAGGCCCAAAATTTATGTTTCACATTCCTGAAAATCAACCGAAGTGTTACTGAATTGAGAAGGTCTCTATACAAAAACAGTCTACATGTAAGCAAGCCTAGGAGGAAGCTAAAATATGGCTTCTTTTAACAGGAAATTGATTGCAAAAGGAAATGGAAATTGGGAAAAGGGGACAGAACAGAAAAACAAACCTGTGGGATGGTCCTTCCTTGCCACAAAAATTCCCAAAAATATGCAGACGACTGAAAATAAAACAGGTATGAGAAAAGCAGGTGCAACCCGATTTATCATCTTCACACCTCCAAATACAATAAAGCATAACAAAATAGTCACAACAATCCCATATATTTGCAAGTCATGAGAACTTGGACTCTCTATTGGTTGTGTAACTGCAGTCCCGTTAACTTGTGTGGCAGCCTCTGCACTTGCAATACAAATAAATATATAATTATATAACATTAATAACAATAATAATAAATCATTACATAATCAAATTGCTTGATTCAAACATAATGATTACAACAATACAACAATAAAGCATAACCCTAAACAATAATAAATCATTACACCTTATCAACTCAAACTCTTAAGAAGTGAATTTTAAATCAAACTCAAGCCTAAAAAACCAATTTGTAAGATAAGATTTACACCTACTTATATATTTTTAATTGATTTTATCTTTAAACGATGTGAGATTTCTAAAACACACTTCTCATGTCGAGACATATATATTTCGAGCATAGAACTAGATATCTGAGGTTAGTCAAATAGTGGACCAATAGCAAGTGGCACAATAAACCAAACAAACAACAAACCTTATTAGGATAAGCTCTAAATGGCCATGATATTATCTTAGAAAATAGACTCTAAGTCTAACTCAATTCTACCAAAATCGGTTTATAAGGTGACATTTACACCCATTTATATAGTGTAAATTGATCTTCTCTAGTCAATGTGAGATCTCCAACATAAATCTTAACATCATAGAAATGAAAAAGACATTATTGAACGCAAAAACAATGTAATAATACACCAATAAAAGAAAAAAATACTGCCTTTTTTTGTCAATCTAAAAAGAGAATAGTGACTCTTCCTCTCCCCTTCTTCATGGCAAAAAATGCAAAGGATCCCAAATTATAGTCACCATGGAAAAATGTGATGACAAAATCAATCTTAGTTGAATGGCCTTTAAGCACAACTTCTTTGCGCTGCATGATTTGATTATTCCAATCTACTATCTAGTTCTATTATAACTAATTTAGAAAAATAGAAACATTTCGAATAGCTATTGAAATCTTTATGGTCTTTCTGACATGTAATAAACAACAACTAGTAAAGTACACACACACACACAAACAGAGAAGAGGGATCAAATTACCCAAAGTAACTCTAAAACATCTCTATCATTCAATTCCTTTTAATCTAAGAGTCTGAGTGTTGATGTTGGGCGTGGCCAATCCACTCTAGGCTATATTTATGTTTAATAGCTTATCAATAGGATAAGGTGTTTTCCACTATAAAAAGTTTAAAGCTATACCTTGAAACCCCAGCACTAAGATTAGTTACTCAATAAAATGAAAGGTGAAGATGAAGATAAAGAGTAACATTTACATAGTTACATTCGGAACAACTCAATCCCTTTTCATATTGTAATCAACAAAAGTTCCCTTTTTGTATCCCATATATATGTTAGCACAATTATAAAATTCTACAATTCCAGTATGCCAATTTCAACAAAATTAGGAAAAAATTTAACACTACATTGAAAAGGATAAAATAGCAATTAATTTTAAAATATTTAAACTTGTTACCTCTAAAGATCCCAGCAGCAGGAACTGCTTTCAAAAATGTTTCTACAGCTCCCAATACATAACTAGAACCACAAGCAACAGACAAAGAACTTCAGAATTAATTTCATATATCAGCTATCATAACTACAATTCTGTTACATACATAATCCTCCTAGCCTGATTTCCTTTTAAGAGATTAAAATTAAAAGAGATTCATATTATACACTTACAGTGCTCCAGCAACAGCATTTCCAAGGAAGAAGCATAGACCAATGCTAACTCCAACTTCAGGACCAAGGGCTCGACCTATTAGATAGTAAGGTCCCCCACCCTACACCACACACAAGAAAATACTAAACTATATCAATTATTAATGCATCCTAAGATTTACTTAATTTTTTGGAAAAATAAAATGCAATCCTATTTACACTTGATCACTTGAAAAGATTTTGTATCGAGTTTTCAAACACAAATTTAAGCTAAAAGGAAAGATAAAGAAATATGCAAAATTCTGATAGAACACACAACAAATAAAATTGTGCTGACCTAAATTTTCCTTTTAAGGAGAAAAGAAGCTGTAACAAAGTTGGGACAAAAACCGCCTTAGATCTAAGTGACCTTTTTTAGAAGACTTTACTTTTGACAAAACACATGGTGCATTTAATAATCGCATAGCTTACTCAAAGTAAAAGGAAAATAATTAGTAATTATTTTTGTCACAAGAACACATGGAGTCCTTAAAAAGAGTCCAGGTTTTAAGAAAGAACATTCTAGTTGGTCCAACTGTATCCAATGTACCGTCATAAATATTAAATACTCAATCATTCCCTTGTCAAAAATCATAGTACCTCAACTTGAGCAAGACATGACAGCAAATTCCTTTTTCAAATTAACTAACAAGTACAACTTAAATTTATGAATAATCCAAAATAAAAGTTAAAAAATAAAGATATCTAAAGCATAGTTAGTTTTAACAATCAGATTTTGTAAAATCTGCAGTCATAGCAAATAAGCAGTACTTCTACTTACTCATACAGTGCTTACCTTCATGGCACCATTGGTTGCAATAGCACTCAATGATATTGAAGTAAGGAATGTACAGGTGCCACATAAAGAAACAAGCAACAATGTTTGTCCTATGCCAGCCATGCCAACAATCCTACAATAATGAAAACATCAAATGTTTAGCTAGTTTAACGCCAAAGTATCCAATTCAACCAAATTGAATATACCAAGGGGATCAAACAAATATTACAATAATTAAAATACAGTATCACAAAGAAATCATGAATAATGATCAATTTCTGTCATGAATTTCTCTTTTTTTTTGTTGGGACAAAATAAATGAAGTCATATTGGAAAGAACAAAATAAAACAAGGTGACCATAACATATCCAGAATAGTTAGGGAGGAGAGAGAGGGGGCCTGCCAAAGGGGAAGAAATAGGAATGCAGTACGACATCCCAACCACTCTGTAAATCAGACATGCCTACACCCCTGATACAACCATTGGCACAACAGTTGGGGGAAGGGGAAGAAATAGTAATGCAATAGGGTATCTCAACCCCTTTGTAAGTCAGATATGCCTACACTCTTGATATATAACAATGGGTCACCAACCACAGAACAGATAATAAGATCATAACACCGTTGATATAGGAGTAAAAAGCTCCACATGAAGATGCATGCAAGTGGTCCAACTAAAGGCCCAAAAAATAACAGACTGCACACGGTTAAGCCTCATTGGTTCTACCAAAGCCTTTTATAGTAACCTACAAGCAACAGTGGCCTAGGGAGAGTAAACCCAGAGCAGAAAAAAAATTCAATTTGAGTGTAGAGGTGAAGAAAGAAATATGACACAAGTGGACTAATCCAACCTAGAACATGATAGGAAGGGTTTTATCAATGAAGCCATGCACACAATACCTTCTGATTAAGACAAACAGACAATGAATATGCGACACATATGTACTTATCAATGGTATCAAAGTGGGCATGATATGTGTGTGTGTGTGTATGTATATATCATTAATTAATCTTCTCATATTTATCATAAGAATCACATCATAGGTTCTAAGTTACATAATAGAATTACTAAAAGCACTCCAATCATAACACACAATGTTGGTCCCAAAATCAAACTCATGAAGAGTGCATAATATTGGGATGTTGAATCAATAATGATTGATTTTATTCATTACAATATTTGAAGATTAGAAGTTTTGGAAGCTTAGAGCCTTTTTTGTAACCATATTGGTTCAAAGTATGCACTAATATTAACAGTTAGTTATATCCATGCTTGTGAAATCTTGGTTTTACAAGAATGGAAATAAAACAATCAGATAGCTGAATAGAGTATCTGCATTGAACTATGGAACGACAAATAAGGATGAAATAATCAATAAGATAAGTTTACAAGTGTTCTTTCAAATTCCTTTTCATTGAAAAATTTAAGCTTGCTTGACTATTAAAAAAAAATTAAAAGTGAAAAGCATATGATTGTTAAATCGTATCAGTGATAAAAATTACATAGATCCATTCATGTCATGTATTATAAGATACAAAGTCATTTAAGAATCATCTTGAGATATGAATTGGTAGATAGCTAAAATGTATCAGATTGGAATATTAGAAACAAGAATCATAAGATTATGATACGAAAGGTAAAGTTTCTAATACCCTAAGTTTCCTATTTAATGGTATAAGCTTTACTATAAAGCTCAAATAAATAAGTAATTCAATTCAATCTTAACAAATAATCTTCAGTTTAGATAAAGGAAAACAACTAAATATATTGAAAAGGTATTCATCATGGAAATGTTTCAAAACTAAGACAAATTGCTATGTTGGGATTTGGAAAACAACATTCATCACTACTTTGATCATATCTAACAAGTGGATTAAATTTCAACTTCAAACTATAGACACAATGAACTAAGAATTCTCAAATGAACAATCATTCACTCAAAATATGAGAGAAATAAGGAAGTTGTGACTTTCATCCTTTTAAACTTGAATCTTAATTGTTAATTATATTTGAATACCAAATTGTAATGTCTAATTTCTTTAGAAAATCTTTAAATTGCAATAATCATTCTCCAACAATCAGATAATTAATTCCAAAAGGCCTAAACATGATCATATATGATGTAACATTTAAAGTGATTTACAAGTTACCAAGAGAAACGAATGTAGTAGATGATGCCCAAAATGCTTTGAATACATGGAATAAATACACCCATCAATGTACCAAGTTTGGGAGCAGCAGGCTGCAGAATTAAATAAACATGTTATGTCAAGACAAAAAATAGATAATTACACATAATTTTTATATTATAGTGACATTATATAGAGCTAAGCTAACCACATCATGTCTAACAGAAAACATTCGAATATGCCACTTTTCACTTTTTAATCTCTTATTTTGGTAAATTCAAACCAAAACTCACATAACATTTTCATCAATCTACATATGAAAGTCATTGTTGTTAAGAAAGTAGACAAGATACAAATAAAGGAAGTAAAGTTATACTCGAGAAAATAGCATACCTTTGGCAAGCCAGCAGTGATAGATATATCCTCACCATCTCTAGGACTTGATGGTTGTGCAACCTGCTCACCAGTCATACTAGAGAAGGACAGGATAAAGTCAAGAAAGTTGTTTGAAATCAGAAAACCAGAAAAAATTCTAGAACTAAAATCAAATTTAACAGTGACATTGATAGGAGACACCCCTTTAGATTAAGAAACAAATTTGCCCATTTGTTTGCTCCATTTTTAAGGGATGGTTGCTTTTTAAGTTAAAAAAAAAATTCCCTTCTCAATAATTAGATAATTATAAAAGTAATAGTGTGCTCAATAACTAGATAAAAAAAATCAATTCCCTTATCAATGTATAAGTAAAAACTCAAACAAATTCGTTACAGTATATTCCAGCTAAACAGTAGCTAATGCTTCTGACAAAAGAATCCCAAAAACAAGGTCTTCTTCAAAGATTATCCTATCCACTCTCAAATTCAGCAATGCAAAGAGTTTAATAGTGTGCTCAGATGAAAATTTTTGAAAAGGCAATTTAATTTTATAAAGAATTTGAAATGCTTTATGACAAGATATGCTGTTTATAAAGAAATTGAAATTCTGGAATTTAGTTATTTGATTATTTAAAATTACAGAATTTTAAATTCTACATAAAATATAAGAATTGGAAATTCTTAATGCTCCTATCTCACTAAATTTTTCTTCTTTTTATATTTTCTCTTTGGCTTAACTTTGACTAGTTCATCATCACCTCGACTTCAATCAAGATGTCATCGTCTTGGTTAAGGTTGGGGCATCATATGTTCAACATAATTTGTGGATGATATTAGCATAGCTTGTTTTAGGTTACAGACTTACAGTTAATCGTGATTATTTTTCAATTTTCATAGCTGACACTATATTTTTGTACATACAAACTTATTTTTCAATTGCCGTTAGTCACATTTCTTCTTTTAACATTAATGGTATTTTCGATTGATGCCAACTAAAATTTTCCCGTTGACATCAAATAGCATTATTTTCAGTTGGTGTAATTTGGTTGACATTGTTAGGATTACTTATCTGCCAATGAAAGTCACGACCATTTCTTGGTTAACTTTTGCCATGGTTTTCTTGACAACATTGATGAGACTACTTTTAGGTGAATATCAACCACACTTTTTTGCTAAGTATGTAGTGTTGTGGCTAAGGATTGTAATGGTGTAATTCAAGACTATTTTTCGGTTGACTTTTATAATGGTTTTCTCAATCAATGTTAGTGAAGCTATTTTTTTGGTGAATATGAGCAAAAATAATTTTGGCTAAAGTCTGTAATGGTTATTTTTTGTCCATGTCTAAAGGAATCATTTTTTAATTAATATCAATAGTATTATTTGATGGTAATTTTTGTATTTGGTATTTTTTGTACTTAGTGGTAATTGAAACAATTTCATCCAAACAAGAAAATTAAGATTCAATAAATTTGAATAGTCATATCCACACAAAACACTTGAAATTAAAAAATTTAAAGAGAAAGCATTCAAGTATAACGTATTAGAATTTTTGAAGAAATGGTAAAGTTCCCTTTTGACACGGTAAAGTTTAAGTATAAAACCCGAAAAAAAAATATGTAAACTTAAAAAACATCTACTAGCCGAAAATGAGTATCGGTAGCAGCAAGCAAGTCCCGTGTACCTTTTGAGACCAAGAATGTTGACAAGAGAGTCAAAACCGAACAGTTCCAATTTAGATTCCTGCTGCTGGGATCCATTAGGTTGCTGTTGATGAGAAGCGTTGCCTTCTTTAGCATCCGAACTCCCACTAAGACTAGTTTTCACTTTTCTGACCACAGAAAAAAAAAACTCAGAATAAACAACAGCAACTCATCACAATCGACTAACTTCATTTCCTTTACAACTAAACAGAATCGCACTCACACACAATATCAACTGGACACAAGTGACTAGCTTACATTCATTCACAACGACACATTATCGCACTCTCACATACAAAATCTCACTAGTTTCAATCGCAAGCAACAGCAAGTCAAAACATCGCCCAATTCTTCCGGTAGGGCACAAGTTTCTGATTACGAAACGAAATGAAATCGGCGCAATCGCTAGAGAAGAAAATTGGTGGAGATGGAACAGTGTGAATACCTGAGATTAGAAGGAATATCTGTAAAAGCAGAAGTGGAAGAAGAAGTAGATCCCGGATCTATGGAAGACATTTCGAGTACCGCGCGATCATTGGCCAAGACAGGACGATACTTGCGGCCCGAGCGAAAACCATCATCGCCGCCACCGCCTTCAATGTCACCGTCGCCATTTTCTCGATCCATTTTTTCAGATCCAAATCGCAAATCTGAATCACAAATGTGAAATAGAGAAACAGAGAACAAGCAACAGAAAATTCAGATCCAGCGTTCTAGATAGTCCTTTTCTTTGTTTACTTGAGAGAATGAAATACGAATGGGTAAGAGTATGACCGCAGGGAAAGAGATCAGTACGATGGTTAGAAGAACGAAGAAATATATGTGTTTGGAGGGAGGAAAAGAAATTGATAATTTTGGACAGAAATTTTGAATAAAATATTACTTTTATAAAATCATTTTGGATTTTATGATGGGGTTTTATACATATAATTGAATTTAATTCAAATTTTATATTTCTTATTTACATTGAAGATATACTTTTAATGAATTAAATATATTATTATTATATAATTAATGGATTTTGAAGTCTCAGCATAATTAATGATAAATCATATAATTTTATTTAAATTCAAATAACTTATTATTATATAAATAAATGGTAAAAAAATCCCAACAAAACAAGGATTTCAAATATGAACTTAAATGGGTGAACTATTTTTATAGCCAAACCTAAATGTAAGATTGAAGATGTAAAAATAATTATATTTTTGTAAATTTTGTTGAGGATGAATTTTATTATCTTATAATACATGAGGTAATAAAAAAATGTATTACTTTAGTTTCGTTTTACTCATTTTAAAAGATATTTTACTTATACTTCTTTTATTTTTGAAATATATTATTTTAGTACATCAAATGTTATTTAAATTACTTTTCTTTGGTTTATAAAGTTTAATATGGATCACTTCAAATATTTTAAAAGTAGAGAAGCTAAAAATTAAACAAACAATTTATAGGAACTAAACCAAAGATTTTAAAATTTAGTAGGATCAAAAAATATTATACCTTCTAAAATATTACCATTTAACGTTATAGTGTGTTGAGCAAGAAATATTCAAAGCATTGCCAGGTTTGTTGGTACTTTTATTGATTTAATTATTGAGTTTAAAGTGTGTCTGAGAATACTGTTATGCCAGATTTCAGTTATTTTGAGATTAAAAAGTTGGTCGGTGCTTCAGTTGTTTGTTTCATAATAGTTGAATTAGTATAAAGCTTTTATTTAAAAATAAAATGAGTTGTTCTTATATATCTAAAAATTTATAGTAATCAAAATGACCTTTTATTTTCAACTTAATAATAATATTTTTCCTATTTTTACTACAAAATAAAATTAATTATCTTATAATAATTATTATTATTATTTCAAGTTTAATCAACAAAATTTAACAGATTCTATGAGAGTTATATTTTATTTTACATCTAGACATAAAATAACAAACTAACCTATGTATAGTATTTTAACCTTTTACTATTTTATCGATACATTTATATGAATATCGATATGCATTTTTGAAAAATTTAAATATATTTTTGTTTTATTAATTTTAAGTGAAAATTAAAATTAATTTTTTTATTGTTATAACTGCATGAATTTAGTTTTTTTTAATTAGATTGTAAGTTTATTTAAAATTTTAAACGTGTTTCTTGATTAATATTAAAAACAATTGTCAAATGTTATTTTAAAATTGTTTGAAACTTTAAATAAATTTAATAAAATTAGGTTAAAATAATTAAATCTATACATTTATAAAGTTGAGTCACTATTTTAAATTAAAGTTTAAAAAAAACTAATTTTAATTTTCACTTAAAATTAATATATATATATATATATATATATATATAACCCTTTTATAAATTGAAAACTATACTCTCATCTTATCTTTTTTGAAAACTTAAGTATATAAGAAATTAAAAGTATGAACGAATTAATGAGTCTATCTATTTGAGAATCTCTCAATAATATTTAAGCTTTGATAAAAAAAATGCATTATTCTCTCTTGGAGTGTTTAAGATAAAAAGAAAAAAAAAATCACAATTGTCCTTTTAAAATGTTTGTTTATAATATTTTTCTTTTATCTTAGAAGTGTATAAAAAGCTTGAAGATATTATTGTGAAAGACATAACAAAACTAATTACTTAAAAATAAATGAAATTTTAGTTGGAATTAACTACAAATAATGCTTATATATAACTGTTTTCAGATACACTAAATATAGTTTCATGATTAAGGTGATATGGTATAAAATTTCTTCTTTTTTATATTTTAGAAATAAAAAAGTTCTCTTGAAATATCTTTAGAGAAAAGTTTTTGAAAAACCCAGTTGAAGGCTTTTTTGTATTTTTCTGCAAAGGATACGGTTTATTAAATTTATATCAATTATTTAAGATGCTTTTTTACAAATTCCAAGTATAATTAAACTCTTAATTTATTTAAAAATAAAACGTACTTATTTTCTTCTATGGTCAAGCGGGCGTTCTCTTTATTTGAAAAGTTTTCATTGCATCTTTAAAATATAATAATAGTTAAATGAATTTTGGAGAATCGTTAATGAAAAGTTTGAAAACTTTTAACTAAACTCTTAACGTATTTTTTTTTCTAGAAGCTACAAATAAAAACAAATAAAGAAATAAAAATCATCTAGAAGCTCAATCTAGTTCGAGGAAGGAGTAGCAGATTCAATTAGAGAAACATATTTATATTTAATATCAGAAAATGAAATAATTGAACATGATTTAAAACCAGTTTTTTTTTCTTATTTCATATAGAGGAAATAATATAAAATATATTTGGTAAGATGTTTTGATCTCCCCTATAAATTGATCTTCATATAGTTTTTTTTTTCTAAATAATTTAAAACTTTTTTGATCTTCATATAGAGGAAATAATTGAACACTGAAAGTTTTTTTTTTTACATAATTTGATAGAATTGAAATTGTGAAAATAATTTTAAAATTAGTTGTGTTGCAAGTAAAATTTTAATCAATTTCTATAAATTCTTATATAATATAAAATATAAATTACTTAAAGAAAAAAAAATTAGTTACTTTGATGCGTACTAAAATTTGGATGTTAAACAAAATTTATGACTGATTCCTTGTTTGTATTATTTTTAATATTGTATACATGTTTTATGCTTCTATCATGTTTCGGATATATATATATATATATATATATATATATATATATATAT